CTCCGACGAAACAGTTTGTCACAGCCCCTCGTTTGTTGTCCTCTTCTCTCTCTCTGCCTACGGTTTACCGGGCAGTTCTGTATATATATATATATATATATATATATATATATATATATATATATATATATGATGTCGCTGCAAGGAACTCAACTCAATTATATTAACCAGATTAAGAGAGTTTTTCACAAGTTCAAGATGAGCACCGCCGAACAGGCTCACAAGTCTTCTGCCCTCATCAGAGCATGACGCTTAACAGGTAAGTGTCACCAAATCTTTCACTCCCCTCTGTCCTTCCTCTCTCTCTCTCTCTCTCTGTATGTCTTCTCTCTCTCCCTTTGTCCCAATGTAGTAGCCCTGGTCTTCCTCCTACTCACACCTCATCTACGCACACTCCCTAACACATGAGGATCTACTCTGAATACTACTCACTGATGTACTAACTCTATCACTTCTACTACTAGCACAGGCTGGCGCAACTATGACTGCTTCAGCAAGCCAGCGCCCAGCATCTCTCTCTCTTGCGCAACATCAAGCCAGCACTCTCCCTCTGCATGCTAGCGCACAAGTGCCACGACACTGCCACGCATCAATGCTACTGGAGATCTCCCATGTGGGAGGCTGGTCTGCTCCTTTATACTAATGGCATGGCCTCGCGAGGCCTGAATCAGCCTCCCTTGGGACTCTTTCACCTGTCCCAGGCTGTGTAGAGTGTGTCCCAGTACCTTTCCCTCAGGGTCTGCTGCTGCTGCAGCATTCAGGCCTGAATTTCGGACTTGGGGCCTGTATCTAGACTCTCCCTCTGACTTAATTCGTGACTGGGAATTAACCTTTTGACTTCTGTTTGAAGAAGCACACCTACTGCCCAATTGACACACATTCTGTACTAATAGACACACATACTGCACGTACAGACACATCTCCTGAATGAACAGACATGACTTGCACACCCCTTGGATGGACAGCTGTGACTCCCATATTTGAATATTGCAACTGTTCGTCCAGGGGCATAACTGTGACCTTTGACATTGACTTTTACTTAGCTAGGATGTGACTTTTGACCCAGAGAACATGTCCTTTGATCTGCTTTCACGAGTTGGGCTCTAGGCGAGTAACCCCACGATGCTGCATTCGTCAAACAGGGTTTGAATCGGGTAAAGACCCTTTTACTCTCGCCAGCCTAGTTTCGAAGTCCTGTGAGAAAACCTTCATCTATCTATAATATTTATCCCTCTTCTTGCTCTTTCTTAAGTGGATACAATATGAGGCGGAGACTCAATTAATTCTTCTCTTGTGAACCAGCCATCTTCACTTGGGTCCTGATATGCAAATCTTTCTTTGTATTGTCGTTGGGGTCTGCCTCTACGTCCAGTTTGAAGAGTGCTTTCAACAACAATCTTATCCACGTCATATTTCCCATCCATACTAGGCGGTATTGCCGATCTCCGGCTGGGAAACAACTCATTTGTCACGTAAGGTAGGAGTTTTGATGCGTGAAATACTGGATACGTCAGCGCAATCTGCCACCCAATCTATGGGTTCATCCAGGTGTTCCAGAAGGGGAGCCGTGAAGAAAGTTGGGGATAACTGAGCAAGTTTGGCAAGACGGGAAGAAAGCTTACCAATGCCTAAAGTGTGGGGACCCCGACTACAAGGTAGCAAAAGGGAACAACCAGTAGAGGTCTCAGTTACCTCTGCAAGGACTTCGGATGTTGAAAAACAGAAATCCTCCCCTTCGAAGGTCCCAATGGCAGAAACTGAAGAGGTAGACAGTCCCCATCTAGTACATTGTCCAAAGGTGGCAAACGTATGCATCTCTCTAGATGGATCCCTCACTGGCGTGGGTGATGAGTTGGCCGCTCGTCGCCAAGCTTGGACTGAAATGAAGAAACGGAAAGGACAACTAATAATTGCAGATCTTGAAATTAATAAAGTAAGAGTAGGAGGATTGATTGACAGCGGTTCTACACGCAGTTATATTAGCAAGAAAGGTTTGCAGAAACTGCGTCTTGGTCTGAAAGTAAAACAATTGGATGAGCCCATTGTAAGTAAGTTAGCAAATAGTTTAGAGATTGTAATGGATCGATACGTCGAGGGGGTATAAACATACTTTCGGCTCGAGGCAGAGGGGAAGGTGGAACGTGTTCTCCACTCTCTGACTCTCTTGGTGGAAGATAGTCTGCCCTTTGATGTGTTGCTAGGCATGGATTGGGGTGAAGCTGCTAATGTGGATATCAAGTTAAGGGACCATGAGTGTTGGCTCCCAAGTCCGCAGGATGGAAATAAGAAAAGCCGCCTATTCCATGAATCTGGTAAGGAAAGCAACTTAGCTCATTGTTGTATGAGTGCCCCCGCGTTTGCCGGCCATGTAAAAAAGTATAACGTGTATGATCAAGTGTTTGTTGCATATGTGCGCCCAATGAAAGAGGGTGAAATAAAGGAAGAGGCCAAGTACCCAGAAATTGAAAAGATCTTGAAGGACTTCGCAGATGTGGCTGAGGCCCCAAGCGGTGTAGTTGAGAGACCCATCAAGCATTGCATAGACATTATCTCAGGAAGTCAGATTCCTAAGGGACCCATTTACCAAATGTCACCAAAAGAGTTGGATGAACTGCGATCCCAGCTGGATGAATTGCTGGAAAAGGGATGCATGAGGCCTAGTTCCTCGCCCTATGGTGCGTCTGTGCTGTTTGTGCCTAAGAAGGATGGCGGGGTACGTATGTGCATAGATTATAGGAGATTAAACGAGATAACTATAAAAAACGCAGAGCCGTTACCGCGAATATATGATTTGTTGGATCGTGTGCAGGGTTGCAAATACTTCACGAAGATTGATCTAAAGTCCGGCTACCGTCAGATTGAGGTAGAGCCAGAAGACCAATATAAAATTGCCTTCAGAACGAGGTACGGGCACTATGAGTTCGTAGTTATGCCCTTTGGTTTTACTAATGCCCCTGCGACTTTCCAAAGAACGATGAATTAACTTTTTCGCGAGTGGCTTGATAAATTTGTCATTGTTTATTTGGATGATATTTTGATTTTCAGTAAAGATTCGAAAAAATATTCTGAGCACCTTCGACTTGTGCTAAGTAAGTTGCGCGAAGCAAATCTTAAGATTAACCCAAAGAAGTGCGATTGGGCCAAGCGTCAGGTTTTGTATTTAGGGCATGTGCTTGATGGCGATGGAGTCAAATTTGGGCTGCAACTTATGAAGAATTCTCTCGTCCCATGTCTGATTGGATGGGCTTGCCGTACTGACGACATAATGAGGAAATGACTAGTCTACACTGCCTACAAGAAGGCCCTTTTCTCACAAGAATTCTCTCTGTCTTGGGTGCTATGGTTATTCGGGCTGCAACTCATTTGGGAATCACCATTGGAATTTCAGTAACTCATTTGGGAATGCCTACGATACTGTGGTTTGACGTGGATGTGTTCAAGGACATACTTTTGCTAAATTATGAAATCCCCGATGATGAGTACTAAGGGTTACTCCTAAGGTCCAACCTCTTGATTACTCGTTGCGTCTGTGTGTAGCTGTCTTATTGTACCCGGTGTTGCTCCACTTAATGTATGTTTCTCGCATGAGTTATGACGGATCATGCCGCGGTGTAGCCGTGAGAGTAACGTATCCGTAAACACACGTAGAACTTAGGTCTTTGTACTCGCGTTGGGGTCGAATTCCTTTACGCCATGATTGCAGTCTCTTTGCATGCTTTCCCACATTTTCGGAGCTCACGCTTGGTTACTATAAAACTTATCCCCAGGCGGACTGGCAGAAAGAGGCGTGTCTGTGGTGGTTCTTCCCTTGTTGTGTCCTCGTACGGTACATCCCGACTGTCTCCTCCGCCTGACATTCTGTTGATCACCATGTGTACAGGTTCCTTCGTTTTCGGAGAATGGTTGGTACACCGAACTTTTGTCTCAGGAGAATGAATGGCTTGGCTCGTTCCCTGCGCCGTCCCGGCCTGCGCAGACCCTTGTTTCCCTCGCCCTTGCCAAAATCATGGAGTTTGTGCGTATCCATTCAATTGGTACCTCGACCCCTATGATTTTCATTCTACACTTCGACCAGTGGGCTGACCTACTATGGACAGCCTCGCACGACAAACCTGGCTTCCTTAGACTCACTGGTATCTCGTTAAGCATTCCAGTGATATCATGGACGAGGACATACTAGTGTACACGTGTGTTGGTGATAACCTCGCCATGAAGGAGAAGGTGTTTGTAGACCTATGGGGGGCTGAGTCACATTTCCATGCTGGACTGATCCAGAAGGATCCTGCCGTTCCTGCCGACCTTTCCGGATCTGATTCCGAGGAAGGGGATCTCTTCCTCACAGAGGAGGAAAAGTTGTTTCATGCCAAGCTGTTGGCCAGTGGGAAGGAGCGGGGCAGGATTATAGCTGCGAACCAGAAGATGGAGGTCAATAGGTTTGCCCGCAATGCGTTCTTACCTACTGTTCCACCTAGATGGGTCGAGTCGCAATCGAGGGGGGTAGATGACAAATTATGGGATCTCCTTACGTTCAACTACGTGGCACCTATCCATGCTAACTCCTACCGCTTCCTTGCGTCATTCTTCGAACTGGAATTGCAGAAATGCAATGAGAAAGCGTTGACTGAAAATACGGACATCTGCAGGGGGGATTATCCACTCACCGCTGAGAACATGAAGCTTCCGGTTGTGGGCGATTTTGAGTGGACTAAGTGCACTGTTTCCAGCACGGCCCTTTCCATCAGGGGTTTTATGGGCCCTAGGGTCCAGACTGCCATAGCTGGAATGTTGGTAGGCTATACCTCAAATGTCGCTGCATTGAGGAAGGCAAGGGTGACTATGGGAAGAACATCACATGGTTTGACCATGTGCTCTGGTACCTCCTCTCTGATCTGCAGTATCTCTTCCTTGAGGCTCCGTCCCTGAAGGCGCGTGCCCGTGCCTTCCGAGTGATGGCGAAGACAACATGGCGAGCCCCGATCCTTGCCTCTGTAGTGTTCTTTCACATGAGGGAGATAATGGTTAGGATGGCCCATAGTGTCGCACTGAACCCCTCCAAGACTCCGCAGAACATTTTGGATGACCCCGCCATCATGCTGAACAAGTTTCCGAGAACCATGGCAAAACTCATCCTGCCGTCCATGTATGTCCGCTCTTCTGAGAAGAGGAGAAAGGAGGCTTCATCTTCGAAGTCTGCTACAAAGAAGGCGAATAAGGGTCAACAGACCACTCTGCAGTTCTATGTCGCGCCAGCCCAAGAGCATGCTTCTGTGCAGATAATCAGTACTCCTCCCACGTCCACAGTGACCGGTCAGGAGGATGGCCAGGCTTCGGCGTCCAACAGAATGATTAGGAAGAGTCCGAGGGAGAAGACTTCTGCCAAGACCATCTTGTTTGGAGCTGGACTCTCTGTTTGATCCATGATTGACCCATTGTTTATGCAGGATGGAGAGGGCTTCATGACTCGTGACCCCTCTGGCAGGAAGAAATGGCAGAAGGCGCCGCAGAACGAGAACGGTTTCTTTGTACATATGGTGTACACCAGCAGAATAATGGAGGGCGTGCACTTCAGATCTATCCTTGAGAATGTTGTCGACCAATTCTTTCCTCCTTGTGCTAGGGAGCTATTGTCCTCAATCGTCATCGGATGGACATATATGAATACGTTGGAAACGATTGTTTACAAACCGGCTGTTGTTTTTCGGGATTTCATCCTCGATGAATGGTTGGATTTTTGTGCCAGCTTCTCGACTTGCCTGTGTGCTACGAAACGGTTTATGCCTTTTCATCACCCTTGCACACACGAGATGAACCAACCCTTCTCCATTCCTTCCACCCATGTCCTCTCGCTTGATCCATCTATCTCTTCCCTCCCGAAACTCGCCAATCTCTTCTCCCAGGGCCTAAATCACATTCCATTTCACCCACGGAACCCACATGTTGCATTGCAAGAATTTTTGAAGGCATGGAAGGCTATTGTAGGATTCTTGTCTGGCAAGATGCTCATTACAAGGGGAATGCAACTCGTAGCTTCTTCATTTGTCACCCAGAGGCTCAAGGCCCAACTGGGATATGGGGACCTGAAGAAATACAATGACCCACCATGTGAGCTTACGATGTATGCGGTGAAAAGAGAGATTGAGTTCTTAACCAAACGATTGTTCATTGCTGGTACAGATAAATTTGTGAATACTCCGTCATTTGTCTGCATACATCTGATTAGGAAGCTTGCGCTGGTACGGTTGAACAGTAATGATTTTGAAACCATAACTCTCACCCCCGATGCGGTGTTCGGGGAGGCACGTGACTCTTTAGCCTCGCTTTTCCCCTCCTTGTCGATTGGCCCGGAGAAACTGCCGTACCTTATGGGCCTATATAAGCACCACAAGTTGGCGTTTAGGTGGCTCACGAACGCATCGTCCTGTTTTTTGACCCCACTAGCCTACCTATGCGATGCTGTCTTGAAATGTTTAAGCCCCGCTGTCATGGCTAGATGCAAAGTCATCACCGATGGTCTTCTTCGTTTCCACGGAGTGGACACTTCCATCTGGTGGGCCATTGAGTCCATTCAGGACTACTGTTACAATTTGCCTGACAAGGTATTATGTGCTTTCTCCGGCGACATTACTAGATGCTTCGAAACAATCCCGATTGACTCTTCCGATGACAGCCTTATTTCGGCTGTGGCTTTCTTTGTAAAAATGGCCTTCGAGGACTCTCCGGGAATCCGAACAAAAAAAGCGGTGAAGTGCAAGTTCTCCCGCAGTGGGCGTATCACTTGCTCCTTGGTGGATGGTGAGAAACGATCTCCTTCCGCTCTGATCTTGTGGTTGGACTACACGGACGTGGTTCAAATTACTAGATGGCTGACTGCCAGGTGTTTCACTTCTTTTGGTGGTAGGATCTTCAGGCAGACTCTAGGGATACCAATGGGACTACCCTGTTCACCGGTCTGGTGTACGATCTATTTTTTTAAGTATGAATATGGTCTGATTATGCGCCTAGCTGATAGGAGAGTTGCTCACCTCCTTCCTCTCTTTAAACACACCTTCAGGTACATTGATGATCTTCACTCACTAAACAACCCATCGATTCTGAAATTCTTGAGTGACCCACCCCCTGTAGAAGACCCGCACCTCTTTTCGCTGTACCCGAGAGAGCTCATTGAGGTTAAGAACCAAACCGAGGTATTCATCTCACCGACTCGGGTGAAATTTATGGCATCAAAACTCAGTTCCTCAATGCTGAGATCTGCGTCACGTCTGATATCCTGGGCACTTTTTCCACAGGTAAGTTTGATAAATGACTGTCGCTGAACTTCCCGGTGGTCAGGTATGTGAAATTCGCCTCGAACAGGCCTATTCAACAGTCCCTTAATCTCATCATGGCCCAAATGGCCTCCATCCTTGTCATCTGTTCAGATCCTCGCAATGTAGCCAAAGAAATTTTGAGGGTCGTAACATACATGGTGGACAATGGATTACCCCTCCAGAGATGCGTAATATCTGTATACAGGGTCCTTAACTCCCCCCAGAACTTTCTCCCTGCTAGGGTGGAGATTGCAGACACAATCCAAGAATTCAAGGTGAGTTCTCTGCTTCCTTGCTTCCCTGCGTCTCTTCTTTTCTCCTTCTGTTTCCTTGCTTCTCTGGTTTGTCTCTGCCTCCCTGATGCTCTGATGATTATATTCTTGCTGACGTATCCAGACAGTAACGAGCTGGCTCACTGTCCTACTTACCTCTTTACTACTACCACACTTCGCTGTATACCCCGTGTGCTTTCCACTCCCCTGCGACAGGCGTTGTCCTCACCACCACTCCGACCGGCTTCGGTCAGATATGACCCTTTATTCCTATACTGACGAGGCTACCCATTTTTTCCGTAATATGTGGCTACCATTTTATGACCCGTGTGTTGTTACGTGTGCTGTGGGTGTTCTCAGCTATGCCCCATACCAGCAGGGCTTCTGAGGCAGCTTGCAGGTACCTTGCTTAAGGCAGGTACCTGTTACCTGTCTTAGCAAGCTACCTGCTGGCGGGGGAGGGGTGGGCCACACACACACACACACACACACACACACATGTGCACGCGCGCGCACATACGCAGATGTCGGTGATTGGTAGCCTAACCGGGTGCACCGTCACATAACGCCAAGAAAGACTCCCTTGAGGAACATTGCCCCTTTAGGGGCCTATACTCAAGAAAACAATCGGAGTCCTCCTCTGGCCCCTTTTGAACGGGACCTCACTATGATAATTCTTCCTTTTTTTCCCCCTAGGATTTACTCCAGCCTTGGTCATCCCTGCCTACCATTTTTGAGAAGGCCATGAGAGGTCCGTCCAGCCCGGAAAACAGCCACCCCCAAAAAAGGGGGGGTACTTCAGGGACCACCTGCGAGTCTAGAAACGAGGATTCAAACCTCCGAAAACCCTCCCCACCAAGGCAAACCAGCATCCGATGGGAGTAGGCCCTGCAGGAGGAACCATGGAAATGGTCCCCCAAGTATACAATGGGACTCCATGTGATCCGGCTAAGAGAACCGCCAAGTGGATACCCCATCGGGTACCAGAACTGCATATAACACGGACGACCGATGGTCTTCACCCTCCTGGTTAACCACACCACGGTTCCCGCTACCAATTCTCGAGAGGGTGCTGGTTTCGTGAGCCGTGTGTGCTCTTCGCTGAGCTATCTCTACGGGATCTCGCGTCGTGCTCGTGCCGCTTACTGCGCTTGCGGCGAGGGAGGAGATCATAGCGTTTGTTTCTACGCTTGATGCATATGCCCAACACTGTTGTCGGTACGCTGCGCTTCGCTGCCGTTACCTCACGGCCGCTACCTCGCCTGGGCAATGCGCGCTTGTGCTTGAGGCATCACGACCTCCCTTCCCGACTCCGGAAGGATCTCTTCCTCACCATTCGCATTCGGACGAGGATCATCACGAGGACTCCCTGGACAGATCGTTGTACAGCATGGCATCTGGAGCGGTATAACCCTCGTCATCACCATTGTGCCCTCCACCCACCCCCGATCCCGCACCCTTTGTTTTGTATGACCGGTCCCGTGGCATGTCTCCCTTTCCCCCGTTTGATTTCTCTACCCTCCTCTCTTCAACCCCTATTCCTCACCCTACCCGGCTCTGATACTGCCTCGTTTGCTCCCTGCTCGCTCTCTCTCGTCTCAATCTAAGAGCCCGGGCTATGCCCGTCAAGGACTCATGTCCCTTTCGGTACGCAATGGAAGTGTTTGTTTGTTCTCTGAGGATCTGGTCGAAATGGAGGACCAGTGAAAAGTACTTTAGGACATACTCCATTACTCGCTTCTCATGCGTCGGCAATCACGAGCCGCTGAACCGAATTGGGGCTTTTTCCTCTTCTTCGTCTCGCTCTGATGATTGTGTCTCTCCCCTTCTCACCTTCTTTGCGGTATATTGGGGGGATTTGACGATCGGATTCGCACCGTATGTATGTGTATATTTTGTCTTGTGGTGTGGATGATTACCCTCGTAGGCCCTACTTTGTTCGTCGTCGTCAGAATCTTAGCGAAAGAACCGGGTGGATCGTGTTGTCACGGAAGAATCGATATGGAGTTGCTTGTTGTCGCTCATGTACTGCTGATCTTTCTGCTCGCCTTCATGGCCTATCTCGCTTTTTTATCGTTCGTTGATCTGCAAGTGGCTCGATCGACTGCATGCGCCTGCACCTGTCGAAACGTTTCGGCCGTAACAACTAAGCGATGTTGGGCGCCTTGATGAAGGACTATCTAAGCAACGTCAGTGCTGCCATCATATTACGTTTTCGCTATTACGGGTTGTGACGAGGTGGGAGCGATCCTTACTGAGTGGTAGTCTTGGGGTTCGCCCGGAGGAGTGTTGGGGGTGATGTCTTCCATGGGTTTCCTCCAGCAACCCCCCGTGCCCTTTCCTTTTCTCATTCTCCCGCTCCTCCTCACTGCCCTTTTCTCTTCCCTCTCTGCTTGCCTATTGATATGGGGGGCCTGGTCTTCATGCTGGCACCCTCCCCTTGTCTGTCCAACGTACCAGCTGGAACCTCATTCCTCATGTGCAATGATGCTAGGTGGTCTGGCCGGATGGTTTGTGTTGCACGAGTTCGCCTTCGTCATTTGTGCAGCATTGCTGATCTGGTGGCGAGTCCCTCGGGTATCGTGCTTTCTGTATTAGTGATTGCCTCCCTAACGAGAGCATGATGGTGGGCCCCGTCGGTTTTTTCCGACCGTTACTTTCGGGGGTGTGGGCGGCATCTGCATGATCGTCGTTATAGGACAGTATGGCACCAGACGTAGTGACGAGGGTCGCGATTAAGGACACACAGGACATGTCTGCGTGATGTCTTTCTGCACGTCGGGAGGGATGTTATCTTGGTTGGGTTCTTATACTACTCTCTGTTGCATCCTGGTTGATTGGGATTCTACGGAAGTTGCGAGGCCGGCAACGTTTGTTGGAAGTCGTATGAAATCGGAGGGAGCTGTTGGTGCTACGGGTTGGATCGAGGGTGTATGGAGTTCTCCGATTGGTTTGCCGGGAGCGGACTGCTGCTAGAAGCTTGATTACGACGATCGCACCTCTTACCCGCCTATGTCCTGCATTCAGAACCTGCGGTGCGCTCATGTATCGGACCAGGGAGAGAATGATATCGGATGGAAGAAGGAGAGAGACAGAGGAGACAGAGAGAGAGAGAGATGGAGAGGGAGAGAAAGAGAGAGGGGGAGAGTGAGAGAGAGGGGAAAGAGGATATATATATATATATATATATATATATATATATATATATATATATATAGAGAGAGAGAGAGAGAGAGAGAGAGAGAGAGAGAGAGAGAGAG